AAGAAGGAAATGCCTGCCTGTATGTTCATGGTTGATGTGAATGTTTGAGCGCTTGGCAGAGTGCTTTGACTCTCTGTCTTATCTCACTCTAATATGGTGATTGTTGTGTTGGTGTTTGGCATTCCAGTCATAGTATTTTTGCTGGAGTAATATCTGTATTTCAGCTTCCGTCTTTATCCACCAGCAGCTTTTTGTACAGTGTTTGAGTTTCCAGTTCCTCGTCCCTTCCCCTATTCTTCCTCTGACCTTCTTCATCTAAGTCTTTCTTGGCTTTCCTTTGACCTGCCATGTCTGTAATGCTCTCCTCTGTGTCTCCCCCACATGCATTACCACCACCACAACCATTTTTCTACTCCCAATGAAAGACGTGAATCTGTCTGGAAGAATCCCTGCGGCTGATGGATATCCTCACCAGGCAGAGAGGAGGGAGGTGGCTGGAGGGAAATGCTGCATCTAGGGGAGAGTCTGGCCGTGCTGTGCAGGGGCTGGTCCCAGAGGAAGGGGGGGTGCGGGCCAGTGAAAGGGAAGGACCCTAGTCAGCCCAGCACTGAGGGATATTCCTAAAAGCCTGTTATTTTAATTAAAAAACAAACGAACAAAGAAACACTGAATCATTTGTCTTGAGTTCCAAGTTTAAGAACTCAAAAATTCAAGGTGATTTGCTGAACCAAGCTCTTCTCCAACACTCTGCATTAGGGTTTTGAATTGAATAAACTTGTGTTCATGTGGGAAGAATTTATCTCCATAATCCTCAGGAGCAGAAAAAAAATGGGCAATGGACCAAAAACAAGGCCTTTATAATAAAAATTATTTTTATTCAAGTTGGAAGACTTTTTGAATACATGGAGTTAGATGGTGATAGTAGTGAATTCAATGCAGGAAACTGGACCAGAATCTCCATCTGTGCCTGTGGAACTGAGGAGATGAAAACAAGCTGGAAAAGCTGCTTTGGAAATAATAGTTAGAGCCCTTTTTCAATTAAAAAAAACAAAACAAAAACTTACTGTTTCTGCATAAACACAAATTCAGAAAGATCTTATTAGCATTATCAAACCAGGGATGGATTTATTTGAAGATAGAGTCTGAAGAAAGTTTTAGAAGTTGTTTTATAACTATCCCATCACAGTTCTCCCCACATAAAAATAGGCTACTTTAACAGCTGGGAATATTTACATAAAAAAATAGTCAGATTTTGATGAGGACACACCCCCCACCCCCCAAAAAAAGTTTAAATGATCATTAATTTTATAGTTTTTCTTATTAACAAAGTATTCTTTCTTTTAGTCTTTAATGTTAGTTAATTTTATATGGTATTTTTATTTTTCTCCCAGTAATACTGAAATGTTTGTGCTGAATTATATTTTATACATTTGTATATTTTTGTTTTATCATATTTCTAAATTTTTGTTTTTGAGATACAGTAGATGTTTGGTATCACTAATTTATGGTTTTATGAATTCATGACACTTTAAAATTATTAATATCCATATGCAAAGTAAACGCTCACATTTCATTCCAGTGTTCAGTCCCTCTGTTAGAAGTGGTCACATGACACCTAAAAGCTGGGAAGGTTTAGCCAGATAAAGAGGAGTATTGGAAAGACTATTCCAGGCAGCATTTCCCACATCAGAAAATGCATAGTAAGTTTGAACAACTGACAGAGACGTTCAAGTTAGGTGGTTCTCAGTTGAGATTTTGAAAGTAAGTTCTGAGTTGAGGCTGAAGTGATAGGCTAGAGACAGATTCTAAGGACCTTTGGAAGCCATGAAAAGTATCTGAGAATCTGAGGATTTTAAGCTGAGTAGTGGTTGGTCAGATTTGCATTTTCTAAGGATCCTGCGGCCTCTGTGTGCACAATCTGGGTAAAAACAAACCAGCTTGAAGACCATCACAAACACTCAGACAAGTGATGACCAGGACAAATCAGTAGCCAGGGGAGAGGAAAAGGGGACAGATGGAGAGATATTTAGGAACTAGAATTCACAGGGCATGGCAGTGGGTCTGGCGTGAGCCGCTGTGTGGATGTGGCAGCAGTTGCTGGACTGGAGCTGCAGAACGGCTACATGGGCTCCTCTGGGACAGAGTTCCATTAGGTAGATGCATGGCATGGACGTGGGCACCTTTGAGGTCTGTCAACGTGGAGATGGCAGTTGAAGTTTGGAGTGTGGATGGAATATTTAGATAGGAAAAGGAAGAGAAACTAAGCAAGAACAGCCAGAGTGGAGGTTAGGAAAATCCGAAGAGGGTGATGTCCTAGGGACCAGGAAGTAAGGACAAACGCAGTGACCATCTGTGTTTGATGCCATGGGGAGTGAGCAAGGGAAGAACCACAAACACCATTTGTGTTAATGTTGGTGACCTGTGTGCAATGGAAGTCGGAAGGCACATTCTATTTTTTTTTTTTTTTTGAGACGGAGCCTCAAGCTATCCCCCTGGGTAGAGTGCCATGGCATCACGCTCACAGCAACCTCCATCTCCTGGGCTCAAGCCAGTCTCCTGCGTCAGCCTACCAAGTAGCTGGGACCACAGGCACCCGCCACAACGCCTGGCCATTTTTTGGTTGCAGCCATCATTGTTGTTTGGCGGGCCCGGGCTGGGGATTCGAACCCGCCACCTTAGGTGTATGTGGCTGGCGCCTTAGCCGCTTGAGCCACAGGCGCCGAGCTGGAAGGCACATTCTAAAGGGAGAAATCAGGCTGCTGTTTCAAGAAGTTTCCACTGGAAGAAAGGAAAGAGGTGGTAACTCTTCAGTTCTGAAGGGTGATAGGAGTTTAGACTAAGTGGATATATAAGGGAGATTAAATGATGATGGGAATTAACACGTAGAGGGAGATGTGGAAGATCGTGATCTGGAGAGGTGGAAGGAGCAGAGTCAGGATGGAGAGAAGAGGAAGTGAGAGTTTGGGTGCAGGTGAGTTGGCGTGGGTGAGGAGAAAGTTTGCTTCTGAATGGCTTCTTGATTTCCTTTGTGATAATAGATGTATTGTCTGGTCATTTGCCCAGAGTGAGGAGAAAGGAGGTAGGGGGAGGTTGAGGGAGAATGGGGAATGTTGGCAACACCTGCTGTGGAGAGAGCTGACCAGGGAAAGTTGAGGAAGGGGACAACTTGATGTTACTGGCAGTGAATTGATGGCAGCCCTGTATCTGTGAATTTCTCCAGCAGCTGAGAACAGCCATCCCACCTGAGGTATGTGAGATTGTGTTTGAGGAGTTTCTAGAAAATCAGGTTTCAGCTGAGTCTCTGAGCGTAAGGGACAGGTCCTGAATGCTCATCAGAGATCATGCTCATGGCCAGTGCATCCACCATCCTTCTGTGCTGTTGTATCAAAGTACCCTCTGAAGTCAGTGAAGTGTGTTAAGCTCTTTGCTCCTTCAGTAAGTGGCCCCAGACTGCTGTCCTGTTTTTCTTCAAGTTCTTTTCTGCTTTTTGATACTGTTTCTGTCTCCTCCCTTTCTGTTGCCTGTCTGGTTGTCAGTTGTCCTGATACATTGCTGTCTGCGTGCAAGTTTATCTCAGCCCCACACTCTGGACTTTGTCAACACAGAATTGTCAACACCTCTGATACAAAGCTGTGGGCTTAAAGACCAGACAACCAAGCTTGATTAGAATTGTGTGCAAAGTAAGAGTGAATAATCTGAGTGTGATTCTCATGCGCTGTGCTTTGAGGGTGTATGCGAGTGTTCATACATGAATTTAGGGACTCCTATTAATTCATTTCTCAGCTGTCCATATGAGATGTTTGTTGCTTGTATTCTCATCGTGATTTCCTTATTTTGAATTTCCATGGATCATGTTAATATTCTTAAACAGCCCTCAATATTTATAACTATCTTTTGTAACCATGCCTTGCAAAGTATTTTCATATGTATTACTTGTGAAGTATTTTCATAGTACTTTGAAAAGTATTTTCGTATGCATTACTTAAATTTCAGAACTATGCAATTAGATTTGTGATGCTATTATTATTATTCTCATAGATTTTCAAATACATCTTCTGTATTGAAATAACATGTTCAAATATTCACTTCATACGAGAATAACGTGCCATGTCACAACTTAGTCATTTAGTGATGTCAGATGTAAATGAAATAGAACAATGTGAAAGTGTTTGGGAAGTTCGAAAATTACATCTCTCGCTTTTCATATTTTTCTGTTTTATCAGCTTTCTCTTCTCTATCTCATGGACCTATCAACAATTTTGATTTTTTAAAGATGTATTTAGACCCATAGTAAATATCACTTTTAAACATTTTCTACAAATTAACTTAATTTTGATACTGACCTTTTTGCCAGGAAAAAGGTAAATTCAACACTAGTCACTGGGAGGCTTCCTGCTAAGATTGGGGACCTTAGGCAGTGCGGGATTTGGAGGCCAGGATCCTGGCTCACCAGTCACCTGGCTGCTCTGTGTAGAGCCCAGAGCGCTGGGTCCTGCCTCCCTGGAGCACCTTGGAATTCTCTCCTCTGAGCCCCTTCTCCATCTTACGTGGGCTGCCTGTGAGCAGAGAGTCAGCTCAGTGACTCAGAAACATTCCTTTACCCTCTCTCCAATCCAGGAAAATCTCTTTTAATCTGGGGGAAATCCCTCCCTTTTCAAACTCTATTCTCAGTAGGTTTTTTTTTTTTTTTTTTTTTAACATAAGCTAAAAAGCCCTGACATGAACATTTTGTTAGACGAGGAAGTACACGCAATGTAGCCTGTTCCAATGGTGGAATATAGGGAGAACACAGAAAATCCTTTTCAGAAATAGTAGAGTAGTAATTTGTAGAAAACACAAACACCATAGGCCACCTCCATTCAGCGTTACCTAACCTCTGGAACTAAACCTGTGCTGGCAAGTCTTTGTTTCTATAATTTACTGAAGAATGGTAATATTGGTCAAATGTTTATACTTTACTGCTATGATTTCCAAGTGATGATCTAAAATAACAAGCCTCATGTAACATTTTCTAAGTGTTAGGAAATTTTTTGACTCCGTTTTGTCTTCTTTTACCTAAGAACACTGGAACTATTTTGGGGCTGATGAGAATCTTGGTCCAGTGGCTGTGAGCATTCGAAGAGAGAAACCAGAAGAAATGAAAGAAAATGGATCTCCATACAACTACCGAATAATTTTTAGAACTAGTGAGGTAAGTTGCAAATGAGAGAGGTTTGAGGCTTAACTGAAGTGGGGGAAGAGGCTTGGCACTAGCAGAGCCGTTCGTGTGATAGCACGTGGTTCCAGGTGTCTTTGGCCAACCCAAGGCCCTTTTCATTCATTGATGGAGGTGGATCCTAATCTGTGCTTCCCATGTAGCTCTGGATACATGCAATAAATGAATGGGAGTTTTGACCCAGGGAAAGATATGTCTATTTGTTGCTAGACGAAGAGGGTCCATTCACCTGTCACTCCCTAGCCAATCTGCAGAGATGGGGTTTCAGGTCCCACAAGCTTTATTGGTCAGAAGGCCAGGGATTCTGGAGAGCACTGAGCGTAGCCTCTCAATTCTGTTCTGCCTCGGTTACAATTCTAATAATTTTTATAATGAAATACAAGGAAACCAACCTAGAAAATTTTAACTTTGTCTTATAGGAAGTAACATGAAAGTAGTCTCCTTTCTAACAGTGCAAAATGTTTAAACAATAAAAAGGTGATTTTACTTTAAAAAAAAAATCTAAGAGAATCATCAGAGAAAACATATCATTAAAGTAACCTGTACCACTACAACAAAACCTGTTGTCTCTGTGTGACTACCCCTCAGAGTCTCCTGCAATGAACACCCTCACGAGCATAGTGAAACCTTAACTTGATAATCACAGAAGGTGTGGGGAAGGCTGAGCGGGCTGGGTCAGCTGTCCTGCTTCAGCTCAGCTTCTCAGACTCCACCTTGCATCCACTTTTCTGGCTTCATATCAAGTACCGGCCCAAGGAAATTGAAGCCTTCAGAAGTCCAGGACATCCCACTGCATCTCCTGCTTGGGCCAGCCGGAGGCACCGAGCCACCTGAGGAGCCAGGGTACAGATAAGAGGGGCCACTGAAGACTTAATCTGCTCTTCTGAGCTGTCAATTCGGTCCTTTCTTGATCAAAGAAGAGGGAAGATGACCCAGCTTACAATCTGGACCTACTCACTGAGACCTAGAGTGTAGCCCATTTGAACCAGGCACTGTCTAACTGTGATGAAACAGGCTCTGAGAGCCCTTTAGGAATCAAAATATGCATAATTATGTGAGTCTTTATTTTAAAATGAAACTTGGGTTAAAAAAGAAGTCAAAAAATCAAGAAAATAACCTACAGGGTATTTTTTTTTTAACTCAAGAGCAAGTTTGGGACTAGGAGTTTCTTCAAGTTTTTTCTAAGCATCTATAATTGGGCCAGTTATCAATTTATTGTGTCTCAGCTCCTAATTCAGTTTAGGATTTTTGTTATGCATTAAGCCTGATACTCCCCTGAGCTATCTAGAAAATAATGGTTTTGAAACTAGTTTAAATAGGGCACTTGGCTTCATTCCCCCTATTGAATGCAAAGCAAATTTCAGGGTTTATCTTCACTTAGTAATTGTCCCTAAGCTTGAACTCAGGGGAAATTAAAAATAGGCTTTTTAAAGGCAAGACTTTAATATCTACTGAGTTATTTATAGTGGCCAGAGAGAAATGGACTAACGTGCTCTTACGTACGTTTTCTCCCCGTCAGAGCTAATGGTTAAGGAGTGGAAAGTCTCCTGCGAGCATCTGGGTGTGTGTGTAGGGAGTTGCTGTGTCTTGACTCCCAGGTCCTACCAGATTCCTGTTACCCTCAGTTACCTTATTTCTCAGTGTTTTTGTCTGTCTTGTTCTTTTCTTTTTTCCTTCCCAAGACCACTCTCATTGAAGTCCCTGTCATATTTTTCCTTTTCTATGATGTTTTTATCCATTTAAATTCATCTGGCAGGGTGTAGTGTCTTGTGCCTATAATCATGGCACTCTGGGAAGCCAAGGCAGGAGGATCGCTTGAACTCAGGAGTTTGAGACCCGCCTGAGCAAGAGTGAGACCCTGTCCTTACTAAAAGTAGAACAATTAGCCAGGTGTTGTGGCAGGCTCCTGTAGTCCCAGCTATTCAGGATGCTGAGGCAGGAGGATCTCTTGACCCAAGGAATTTGAGGTTGCAGTGAGTTAGGCTGACACCAAGGCACTCCAGCCTAGGCAGCAGGGTGAGATTCTGCCTCCCCCCTCCGCCAAAAAAAAATTCATCTTCTTGCCACATGCCACTTGCGTCCTTCACGCTAGAGGCTAAGGTTTTTTAAGGCTGCTCTTTCTTTGTTGGATCCTGCCATTGGTTCCAGGAGCTTCCCTACTCAGCGTGCCTTGCAAGTGGGCCCTCCACATCCCACCCAGCCTCTCTGTGCAACATTAAAGTCTGCTCTGAGTCCTGCTGTGGTCTGTGAACCACACAACTTCATCCTTTCCCACCTCTGTCCTCTCCCCTCTCGCCGTCCAGGCCCAAAGTGCTCTACTTGTGCCTCCCTCCGGTTCTCTGGTCACAGGGCTCTGTCTTTTTCCTGGGGACTCATTACAGTCAGCTGCGTCCCTTGGGTCTGTTTCCTTAGCCGCTGGATTAACCAAAGGTTCAAGTCAGATGTCCATTACCACTGGTTGTTAGGTTCAGTTGTTGGGTTCATGGCAATCTTACTATTCTTTTGCTCAGGCCATAGATAGATCATTGAAGTCTCACTTCACTCATCTCTCTCTTGCCCCCCAGATCTGGCCTGTCATCCACACTTATTGATTTTTGTCTTCAAAATACATCTGTAACTCAACCACTTCTCCCACACCCTCCGCCTAGGCCTAATCCTAGCCTTGCTCTGAGAACTGGCCTCTTTGCTTCTGCCCGGCAGGCGTCCTTTGGAAATATAATCCAGATCTTGCCATAACTCAGTTCAAAGTCCACCATGTTGTCTCTATATCCCTGTGAGAAAAAGCCAGTGACCCTGTTGTCCTGGGAGACTGTGTACACCTACGCCCCAGTTCTCCTTCCCATCTCCTCTGGTAAGGCCTCCTGGCTCCCTTTCTAACAGCCGGGGGTGCCTCTTTCTCCTCTCTGCCCCAGGGCTCTGATGCTCCTGGAAACGCCCCTCTCTGGTTCTCCCCCAGGCATCTCCTGCCTCCTTTCCTTCTGGCCTTCACTTCTAAATCGCAGGGACCTGCCTTAGCTACAGGATCTAGTTTCTACTCCCTTGCCATTTTGTATCCAATTCAGTGCTATATTTTCATTGAAATTAACACTGTCTTATACAACTTACAGAAGTTCTACTGTATTATGTACTTACTTTGTTAGCTTTTATCCCCCTCCCTAGGAAGTAAACCCGAAGTAGTGTTTACCTTTGAGCTCTTCCCTTATCCTGTGCCTGACTCCAGAAGCATCACCTTCCCTCCACCTGCCTCCTTCCCTCCCTCCCTCTCTCTCTTCTCCCCATTTCCTCCCTCCCTTGCTCCTTCCTTTCCTCCCTCTAATGTTTATTTAATTGCCACTAGCTTTTGTGTAATTTTCTTCCAGTAAAAATTAATCCTTAAATGTGGTTAAATTGTCATATTTTTCATAAGGGTTTTGATAGAAATGCTGCTGGATGTTGGTCCCTGTTTCTAGCTCCTGGACTTTGTGGGACAGTTACCTCACTGTTTCTGTTGGACCAGTTTATAGATATATAATGAAATAAGATGTAATTTGTATCAGGGGTTTCTCCTGTTACTTATTTTTCCCACTGATAAATACATCAAGGAAAAAGAAAACAAGGTCATTACAGTGACACCGCAGTGGCTACTGTAAATGGCATCAAGATAACAGAAATACAAACAAATGTCCTTCATTTTAGACATTAACATCGCAAAGCATCCACAGAAGAAGACCTTACATACATTTGTAGGCCTGACAGTTTACTTATGAACAGAACTTGTGGCATTTGTTTTTTGTTTTTTTTTTTGAGACAGTCTTACTTTGTCACTCTTGGTAGAGTGCTGTGGCGTCACAGCTCACAGTAACCTCCAACTCCTGGGTTTAGGCCATTCTCTTGCCTCAGCCTCCTGAGTAGCTGGGACTACAGGCACCCGCCACAACGCCCGGCTATTTTTTGTTGCAGTTTGGTCAGGGCTGGGTTGGACCCTGCCACCCTGGGTATATGGGGCCTGGCCCTACTCACTGAGCCACAGGCGCCGCCTGTGCCATGTGTTTTTAAGCATAGGAACACAAGTACTTATGAGGACTCACTTCTCGTTTCTGGAAGTCATTAACAAAAATATCAGTAACGCTGGAGATTCGGATGTGAAAAATGAGTCACCCAGTTCCCGTCTGCTTTGGCTTTCCTGAAGTCAGCCGCTATCCTTCTGTGCCTTGGTTATCAGGCTCATTCCTTCCTGAGAGAACCGCACCTTGGGACAGCGAACCACAAGGCTAGGGGTATTCTCGATCTGCAAGCAAAGACCAGAAGCGGCAGTCATCACGGTTCGGGCCTTCTGCTCTCCCCGCTCTGCCAACCCCCTCACTTTCCACCCCACCTGGCCTTCTCCTGAGGCCCAGCTGTAACAATCCCTCTTTCCCATTCACACCCTGGTTTGTTCTGTCTCCAAATCTTTGCCCCTGTTCTGATGTTTTCTTTTCATAGAAATTATTCCTGTATTTCATAGCCCTTTTTTAATGCCACCTCTTCCACTGGGGCCTTTCTGTATGCCTGGAACCACTTGATCCTTCTCTGCCCCAGACCCTCTCAGGACCTCACCTTGTCCTGCCTCCCCCAGTGCGCGTCCCTCCCACTGCCCTGTGCATTTCTGACCTCGGCCTCTCACACACCACAAGTCCCTCAATGTGAGCCCCTCTCCCCGACTGGCTCTGGTAACTCTCATGCAGCATAATGCCCAATAGCCTGTTTGATGGGTTTTTCTTATGTGGCTGTACAGTATTTAAATTATGTTAACAGGGCAGTGCCTGTGGCTCAAAGGAGTAGGGCGCCAGCCCCATATACCAGAGGTGGCAGTTCAAACCCAGCCCCGGCCAAAAACTGCAAATATATATATATAAATAAAAACATTATGTTAACAATCTTGTAGCATGGAAAATTTTAATAATTAAAACTACTTTAGGCTTCGTGTCTGATTAACTTTGCTCTGACAAATCATAACACAGGGAAATGCTTTTGCTTAAGGTTTTAACAGAAGGTATTTTAAGAATGGAAGGTATTTTAAGAAATAAGGGAAAATCTACAGTGATTTTAAGTGTTGTTGCCTGCGCTGCTGTGCTAACTATGATCACTGTCTTATTGTGGCAGCATTTGGGTCTGAATAGTTTATGCTTGTCAGCTATGCACTATGAAATTTGAAACTTTATCCTGCCCTGACCTCTTGTAATTCAAAAAGGTATAATATCCAAATTCTGAGTCCTTATCCTTCAGATACTGTGCTGGGATGCCTCCTTAATTTCCTGGTTATGTGCTTGGGGCATTACATAGCCATGTAGAGACCTAGGTGTTTAGTGATCTCTTTAAGGAAATGCTGTATGTGGCATTTAATATCATCAGAACGCTTTGAGTGCCTTTGGACTTGCCTAGCTCTTCTTGAAGTATGGGCCTTGATTTTCATATATAGTTGAACTTATATAAGTTGACCCAAAGGGACTGCAACAAACTGGTCAACACAAGGAAGTGGTCAGCAGAAGGAATTTGGCCCATTGTACGGACAGGTACATATGGTGCACGTCTGGTCCGGGAAAATGAGGTCAGTTCAAGGAGGAGGTCAGTGTAGGGAGGTGCTCTACTGATACAACCAGTGGAAAGTCATTCCCCAGGCCCATAAGGAGCCCACAGTCTAGGCCTGCAGTGCCAGTGACATGCACTCAGTCTTGTTGCGTCCTGGAGAAGCCTCACCACAGCCCCTGTGTCTCTTCCAGCTCATGACTCTCAGAGGCTCAGTCTTGGAGGACGCCATTCCCTCTACAGCCAAGCACTCGACAGCCAGGGGACTGCCCCTGAAGGAAGTGCTGGAGCACGTGATTCCCGAGCTCAACGTCCAGTGCCTGCGGTTGGCCTTCAACACCCCCAAGGTCACAGAGCAACTCATGAAACTGGATGAACAGGGGGTGAGTTTGGCTTTCAGAGGAGAACGTTCTTGCTGCTCAGATTTTCTGCTAACCTTCCAGGCCTTAATGGTTTTGTTGGATGGGGAAAACTGATACCATTTACTGTAAAAAATACTTTTCCTTGCAGTTACACATTTTCTTTTTTTAACTCTTTGAACATGTCTTATCGGATGACTTTATCTGTTAGAAGGTGATCAGTAATGTACTTAAACTATGTTCAGCTCTTTTGATAATCTTCCATATGTGCAGTGGATTTTTCAAGTATCTGGGAATAAGTTGTAGCATAATAATACAGTCCAGTAATAATGATATTATATTAATAACCATACAGTAATATTGTTACTGTATTGTAATAATAACAATACAGTAAGTGCTGGACCAGGGTTCAAACAGTCTGAGTCAGAGCCTGTGCTGTTAGCCACAGTAACATACTTTCTTAAAAGCTTAGAAGCTTGGAATTTTAAAGTCTGTAGTACCAGCAGAGATAAATTTTAGCTAAGATTTTTAAATATAAAATTTTAAAATTTAGGTTCTGATCAGTAACAAAGTTAAAATGCTCAAGATTGTCTACCTAAATATGGGAGCCCTTTAATCAAGATGCAGGTGTGTGATCAGTTAATTAATCCATATAGAGGATCAGTTAATTAATCCATGTAGAGGCAGCAGAAGAGAAGGAAAAGTTATGGTCTGAAAAATTCACCATCCAGAGAGTGTTATCCACATGCTTCTCTGAGTAATTGGATCATATGGGCTAATCTTATAGATATTATCCTTACATATTCATACTTTAATTGTTTCTTTTAGAGTTTCAACCATATTGCATCCTAGCAGTAGATGACAGTTTTAACATTGCATATAAAAAAATTCCTACAAAAATAAAATTGGTCTGGGTATTGAATGTCACTGTGTGAATAAATTTTGATAATATTTTCTTAACAAAAATTCTAATTTTATTACAATGAATGGAAGTCCAGAAAATCAGTTTCAGTGTATGTTCTTTTAATTCAACCATTGAGAATATATACTAAACAATAGTTGTTTGAACCATGTTACATTAAAAATTAATACCCCAGTTGGAGATGATGGGATTTTTGGTACGTTTCGTACCCTCTGTTAGTTATTGTAAAATATTGAACTGCAGATGGTGCTAATCTGTGATGAACGCTGTAAGGGCCGATTCCATATAAGGAAAGATGAGAACGCTGTAATGAATTGAGCTTAAATTTATTTGATTCACAAAACTGGCCATTTATTCTGAAATTATGGCTTTCCTATTCTCGGAGGATATTAAAATGCTGCTCTCTTCATAAATTCTTAATGGTAATATATGATAGTTTTCTTTAATGTCTTTCATAGACAAGGTTTAAATTTGGCAATCAGAATCAGTCTCTGCCAATTTATTTTGGAAATAAATGCCTTAAATATGTTATCCCACTTAACAGGGCTTTCATGATTGCATAGTTTTTCTAGGCAACAGACTCTGGAAGCTTAAAGCGTGCTATTCTGTATGAGCAGCTCCACGTCGGGACTGAAGGGCATCGGCACTTGGCCTCTGCCTGTTCCGTCTCCACACACAGCGTTCAATGCCAGGATCGTACTGATAGAAAACAGATGACATGCATATTTAGGCTTCTAGTCTGGGGAGTAATTTTTTTGGTAGGAGATCTCATTAATGCCTTGGAATTATTTTGAGAAACTGATTATTTTAGTGCCCTTACAAATACAGATTTTAAAAAGGAAATGCTTATAAGTGCAATGAATTACGCATATGAATCATTGCAAAACATTTTTAGTTTCCATCTGTGTCGTCATATTTTAAAATTTCCAGCTTTGTATATCTTTATATTTAAAGGGATTCATAATGCGATGCCAGGGAACTGGACTCACTAAAAGGAGCTTTAAATCTCCCTTTACATTTTATTTAAATGATTCCTTTAATATCTTTTCTATTCTTATTAAATGACTTACATAATTATGCCCGGAAAAAGAAAACACAATTTGTTTGCTATCCTGTGGCATTTTGCCTTTCAGATCTCAGTGCTTTATTTCCTCATTTTACCACTGGGGAAGGCTACAATGAACAGAAAAACAAATTAAAATTTTATCTGTAAGATAAAAAAGAAAGCATTGCACAAAAATCTAATAATTTGTTTTTCATTTGACTTGACAGTGACATATGGGGAGCTGAATTAGGCATTTCAGTTCCTGCAGAAATTCACTTTGGGAAATGAATATGTGCTTTGTGGCTTATCTGAGCTTTCACAGTCTCTTTTTTGATGCTTTTTTCGGTCGTTCGCTATTCATTGGCGTTCCTGTTTGTTGTTAAAAAAAAAAAGGGTAATGAGATGATGAAACTAACCTCCCGTATTTTCACATTGGCAAGAATTTAGAGCACTTTGTGCCCGAGAAGATTTGTATCAACTCTGGATTTAGTTGACCCATCGTGGTTCTTGATCTTCATTTACAGTGTTAGATAATTGGGTGTCTATCTCGTGATAAAGACAAATTAGGCAGATACATGGTTCATTATTGTGACATTCTAATCACTTTACTGGCATCATCGATTTAATCCTCACAGCTCTTGTAGGAGGTTCAATTATTGGCCTATTTTGTATTTAAGGGTATTAGGCTTATAGAAGTTCTCCATACCATTTTTATCCGCTCTCATCTCTTAGTATGGGTAGAACTACTTTTCTTTTTTAAGATTTGCAAGTTCCCTGTACTTTTGCATACCTTGAATTATTTTAATCCTTAAAACTACCCTATAAAATATTAAGAATTTCATTATCTAGCAGATTAACTAATAATATGGCCAGTTGTGTTACTTTTAAATTTGCCATGTCAGAGCTAGTTTTCTTCAACAGTCATTAAATATCTCATTTACTGTGTGCAAGGTGAATGAAAAGTTACTGCATTAAGCCCCGGTTTAGGGAGTTCACATACGTAGAGCACTTAATACAATGCTAGGGACACAGTAACTGAAGAAATATTAGCTGTTGCTGGGCACAGTGGCTCACCCCTGTCATCCGGGGACTCCAAGGCTGAGGCAGGAGAATCACTTACGCCAGGAGTTTGAGGCTGCAGTGAGCTGTGAGTACATCACTGTACTCTAGCCTGGGTGACAGAGACCCTTTCCCTAACAAGGAAGGAAGGGAGAGAATGAAAGGAAGAGACATAAGGTGGAAGAAAGGAAAAGAAATATTAAAGTGTTGATAATAACAATAACTTGTTAGTAGCCCCTTGTGTGCGTTTTCTCATTTAATCTTTATAAACATCCATTGAGAGAGCACCTATTAATCAGTGATATATTCACTTATTTTCACAAGTAAGCATGTCTGTTTCAAATTCAACATATAGACCAGGCACAGTGGCTCACACCTGTAATCCTAGCACTCTGGAAGGCCAAGGCCAGGTGGATTTCTTGAGCTCATGAGTTCGAGACCAACCTGAGCAAGAGTGGGACCTCATCTCTACTAAAAATAGAAAAACTAGCCAGGTGTTGTGAAAGTGAAAGCAAGAGGATCTCTTGAGCCCAGAAGTTTGAGGTTGCTGTGAGTGGACTGACAGCAGGGCACTCCCGCCTGGGCCACAGAGTGAGACTCTATCTCAAAACACCCGCCCCCCACCAACCCACCAAATCCAACGGAGGTCTTTTGAGTATGAGTCTTGCAGATTATTGAATACTATAGAGAATAAATAAGCTGGTAAGACACAGTCCTTATCCATGAAGGAAACGAGGCCGTACATTTCTGTAATGGATGTCAGGGTTAATATAATGGGTATAATAAAATAATTGCAAACAAAGAGCAATGGGTGGAGAAGCCATACCTGGCTAACCGGATCAGAATGCGATGGGCCTTGGAGGGAAAGAGGATTTCTTCAGGCCGGACAATAAGCAGTAGGATGGTCCAGACTGAGAACAGTAAGAACAGAGCGCAGGAGGACACAGCCAGCAGTGTGTCCATGGAGACGGCAAGCAGTCCAGCTGACAGTAGTGTGAGCCTTAAAACTACCCTGTAAGGTATTGTCAGGGAGTAATAAAAATAGACGATTTTTATTGAGCAGTGACTAAGCCAGGCACTGTGTGAACCAGTTTACATGAATTATTTTAATTATGCCTCAGCAAGTCTTGATGTATGTACTGTTATTGTTCCTGTTCTTAGACACTGTTCTGTAGCACCGAGGCACAAAGAGACTGATCACAATTGGGTTCTTTGGAAGCGGCTCTTAAATGCAGCCACTCAGACTCCAGAGCCTGCTTTCTTTCTTTTTTTTTTTTTGGCTGGGGCTGGGTTTGAACCCACCACCTCCGGCATGTGGGGCAGGGCCGGTGCCCTACTCCTTTGAGCCACAGGAGCTGTTCTAGAGTCTGCTCTCTTAACCAACACGCTCTCCACACCACTCTCCTTTCCCTCCCAGTGAGTGGGACAAAAGCTAGAAAGTTGGGTCCACACCTTACTGCTGCAGACTTTAGTGCCCAATATTCAGTTTTACTTGTTAATAAATATTTAAAGTATAATTTCCAGTTTGCAGTAGAGAAAATTGGTAGTCCTGTTTTCATCAGGAAATGTCAGGTTTCACGAACACAGTAGCCACGTTGCCTAAATGAGCATCTCCGGATAGTAGATGTGTGTTCTGTTTTTGTTTGTTTGTTTTTTCGCAGTTTTTGGCCGGGGCTGGGTTGGAACCCACCACCTCCAGCATATGGGGCGGAGGTCCTACTCCTTGAGCCACAGGCACTGCCCAGCATCTCCAGATGTTAAAAATGCAGAGAAATGAAAATGTTTGTTGGGTTCTCAATTTTTTTGTAAAAGTCACCCTTCAAGCTACTGAAGTTCGAGTACAGGGGAAAGTAATCATATTTAATTAATGTGTGCAGTCTGCCTCTCAAGGATGTATGTAAGGAAACAAGCAAGGTTTCTGTGGTAATGAATCGCACTGACCCTTCCACTGGGGCGGGAATGAAATTCTCTGCTGACTTAGCCTATTCATTGCCATGT